CTCCCGTTTTTGAATGGCCAAAAGACACTTCAGTCAGTAGCACCACCCCGGGGGGTAACAGCCAGTTTGTTTGAGTTTATATGGAAACATTGATTATAGAGTTGTATTCTGTATGTGGGCTTTGTAAACTTATGATTTGATTATATTAGATTTCTAGCACACTTAAAATGCATGAAGTGCGTTTCCCTTTTCTTTTCTTCTTTTTTTCTTTGTTTTTCTTTGTTGTTGTTGTTTGTTTTTTTAGTGAGCGTTTTACGGCTCTCGCAACTGCATAAGGTCATGTGAGCGCGCCAGACACATCACATATTTACAGTTGGTAGGAAATTTTGAATTTTGCACTTGTGGAGGTCGAAGCCTACTCTTATCGATTTTTTACCATCGAGGGATCTTTAACGTGCGCAATTTGCACACGAGACCTCCAAGATGTTTTCCCCTTGTCCGAGAAGGCTAGGTGTAGATTTTTCCTGCATAGGAACAGGGGTCCACAAGATCAGGGGTGGGGCTGAAAGACAGCAGTAAGAAGGAGCCAAGGAGTAGCAGTGGAAAGGCAGTAGAATTAGTCAGGAGCTCAGAAGAGGGGGCAAAGGAGGGTGGGGCAGAAAGTGAAGACGAAAGCAGACGGCAGAACACTGCTAGAGAGCAGGAAAGGAGGTGAAAGGAAACCATTTTAGAGAAGACAACGTTTCCGTCGCTACCCAGATTCGAACCTGGGGCCTTTGAATGAGAAGCGAACACCTTAACCTCTAGGCCACGAGAGACCCAACAGACAGTTTGCTTGATTCTATAGCGAAAAATTGATTAGAATTGTATTATGTTTGTGGGTTTCATAGACTTATGATTTGATTATATTTTCTAGCACTCTTAAAATGTATAAATGCGTTTCTCTTTTTGTCATCACATTGTCTTTCAAAGGGAGAAAGATTGCATTTGATTTTTAAAAATCATGTATTGTTTGGACCGACAGAAGCTTTGGTCAGCAAGCTGACAAACAATTTTAGATAAATTCTTTTATTTAGAAATTGCTGAAAATATTCGCCACGTCCAGCCGGAAATAAATAATTTTGTTACAGGTTTGATGAATAGTGTTTGATTTTTTAAACATTTCTGTTGTTGTTATTTTTGTTTATTTTATTATTTTTTTAGACGAAAATGTAATATTTAAGAGAAAAAAAAGTTTCAACTTCCACCCCAACTGTTTTATCTTTTAAAATAACTGTTTGATTTTATTTTGCAGTCCTGAATTTTACTTTTCTCAGTTTGCTTTACGTCTTCACATGATCCGGCCGTGGGAAAAAATGTTTTAAGGAAATGCAAGTATAACAATATTATGTTTACTTTTATAGAACTAATATTATTTGATTTTTATAGAATAGAGGCTTTTGTTTGGTTGTATTCTTTAGAGTTTGTAGAAATTATCAAGTCTTCGGGCACAGAGAGAATGTGTCTGAAGAGAGATATTTATCTGATTATACAGAAAACATGTTTAATTATTCAGAAATATTGTTAGATTTTAAAGAAACATTGTTTTGATTTGGTAAAATTATAGCTTCATTTTTTAAATTCAAAAACGTGTTGGTTTTATTTTTAAAAAGTTGCTCATTTTTATAAGTACTGTGTGATTTTGTAGAAACTAGATTTAATTTTTAAAATATTAATAGTAAAACATGATTGATTTCGTAGACCCATTGTTTGATTTAAGACTTAGTGTTTGACCTTATAGATATGCTGTTTGATTATTTAGAAATATTATTTAGTTTTATAGAGGAATTGTTTACTCTTTCGATTGATTTTAAATAAATACTAATTATTTAATTCGACAAAAATATTATTTGATTTCATAGATAATATCATGTTGTACATAACACGTGTTGTCGGATTCTATAAACACATTGTTTTATTGTTAAAACATTTGATTTTGTTTAATTTATGTAACTATAGTTTGTGTTTGTAAAGGAAATGATTGCGTTTACCTTAATAGAAATGTTGTTTTATTTTTATTGAAAACAAAATATCTTTTATAGTTTAAAAGAGTAGGTTTGCAGTAGCAAATAAAATTGTTTGGTTTTATCGAAGTATCGTTTAATTTAAATTAATAACATATTTTGGTTTTTGTAAGATAATTGTTTTGAATACAATGATTGTATAGCATGTAATATTGTTTGATTTGATAGAAAACTATGGAAGATTTAAACAAATATTTTAAATTCTATTTTATTTTGTAAGTTTGTCAGAATTTTGTACAGCAATAATTTGATTTGAAAGAAATATTGTTTTATTTGATAGAAATAATATATCAAATATAATAGAAGTAATTAATAGTTTTGTTTATTTGAGTAAAGAGAAGCACATCGACACACCAATGGTCATTTGACGCTGAGAGAGACAAAAAATAGAGGGAAAATTTTTTAAAAAGTAGGATCCACCGGTGGCACTCTCCAACCACCCGCTAAAAATAATTGTTATTTAAACAAATCAAAATCCTGTTTCATTGTGCATATATGCCGCTTGACTATTTCAACATTGCTTGATTAGCTAGAAATAATTTTGCTGAATTAAATAAAAAGTAGAAATGACGTTTCATGTAGTAGATCTATTGTTCCACCATATTATAAGAATATTACGTGTTTTAGTAGAAACATTTGATTATTTAGGAATATTATTACATTTCGTAAAAGAATAAAAAAAAAAAAAACTGAAACAAGGAAGGCAAAATACATCATGAATAAGTATCATGTTAAAAAAAATAATACGGGATGACGCTGCAGATTGTAAAACTTTAGCTCCTTCCTTAAACTCACCTCAAATTATCGGGGTAAAATAATTCAGTAATTACAGAATAAATGAAAGTACACGACTTGATACGGCACTAAGCATGTATTACTGAACGAAAAAAAATGTTACAATAAAAATGCAGTACCTTTTTCGCTTTGTTTGAACAAAGAGGTGCTCATCCACACAATAGTTCTTTTTTTCCGTAAGAGACACAAGAAACACAATAGTTGTCTAGTTTAGTTTTAGTTATAGTAAAAGTATAATAGCAGTTGCAAAACAAGTATATCGCATAAGTACGGAAGACTACAGGTTTTACTAGAGAGTAGCATGCAAAGAGACAAAGAAATGA